ACTAGCCTGGAGTAGCTCTTCTCAAATCAAATTATGAGCCTGGATTACCTAAAACTCTCAGGACACAGCCTGGGTTTTCATTTGTCTGTAGGTTACTGTTGACAAGCAGCCTTCTTTTCTCTTGCCATTATTCTTCATGGAGATTATCAAAGCTCCAGTTCCAATTCAATATTCCCAAAGCAATGAGACGCTGAGGAGAAGGCCGTTTTCTTAAACAGCTTGCCTGACCTCATGTGTTTTTACCACTTATTTAAAAAATGTAAAAAGAAAGCAAAAGAAACTTTTTTTCATGTTTATAACCACCTCTGTCATTTGCATATCAAAGTTTATTCCCAGCTGAGCTTATTCACGATTCTTTGGCAAATATTTATGCCTTGTCAGTGTCCCGCCACCCATAAGGCAACAGGAACAAGAGTCAATAGGCCTCAGCAGTGTTTGGATCTTTGTTTGAACACCTGACCATCCCCTCGAAAATGTACACTGCTCTGGAAATCACATAGTAATAAGAGGACCAGACTCGAGGTCAAGCCATCTGGAATAGAGGCACAGATCTGATGCTGACGAGCTGTGTGGCCCTGCAGCACTCGTTTACCGCTCATTTTCTCCACCTGAAAGCCAAGGAGATTGAACTAGATAATCTCTAAGCGCCCTTCTAGTTCTATGCTTCCATATATTCGTAGAACAGTATTGCATGGATAATGTACACAGCAGACAGTAAATATTTGATTGTAGTAGCTAAGCAAAGCAGGAAAGCAATCTATTTCTCAGCCGACTTAAATGTGTATAGAACCAAGATTTGGTGTGTCCAAGATCAGGTCAGAAAGTGAATAAAGTGTGGTGAGGCGTGGTTGGTGGATAGCTCCTGGGGAGAGAGAACTCGGGTTGAAGTCTTAGTTCTGGCAGGCTCTGTGCAGTGTAGGGTCACTCTACCAAAGCTTCTGAGAAGGACAGGCTAGGTGGTTTTTAAAGTTGTTTCCAACATTAAAATTACAGCTCAAACAGAAAAAATTCAAATCACTGCATTCCTATATGTAATTGTGAATGCATTTTACTCTGTCTTCTTGAGGAAAAATGGATATTGGCGTGAATAATTATAAAACAAATATTCTCTCTTCAATAATACTTTACACTGAAAACTTTTTATTTGGTTTAAAAACAAGTGTTTAAAGTAGGTACAGTGATGGGGAATACAGGTAAGACTATAATTGTTCCAAAGTTACAAGAATTTTTCAGATACAGTTATGGTGATGTGTTCTGATATCACACACCAATTTGTTAAGGTGACAGATATCAAAACATAATGAGACTTTTCTTTTCATAGCTAATATCTTCATTTAGAAAGCCATACCAAACTAAACCAAAAATACTAGTTATATTTTCATTTTTAAAAAAAACAGCCATAAGTTTCTTCTTATACTAGTGCCTTTTTTAAAACCACTCATTAAAATGTTACAAAATAAACTGTGTTTTAAATTGTTTCCACTTGAGAACTAAAAGACTTTGTTAATGATGCAAATTTAATTTAGTTTTACATACTATTTTTCTTATTAAAAAATCATAAACATAAGTGCTAGCACCTTCTAAGAACTTCTGTATTTACTTAAAACACAAGCTATATCCACAAGACTAAACCAAACCACCCAACCAGTAAGATATCAATAGATAAGGCATGAAATGGCCATGGCCCCAACACGGACATGGTTCTTGATAAGGACCACTGTTATCCTTTGTGAGGTTAACTGGGATGGATGAGCGAAAGAATATCGTTTGGGAATGCATTAGATAGAAGATATCAAAAGAATTTTTATCTTCCAAGTACACAAATTATACATATATAAGGTAACAGGAATTTGATTTCTGGTCATTAAAGTCAAACCTAAAGTCCTCGTCCCAGAATTTTCCTCAAACATCTGTAGAACTTTTAAATCTTAAATTTGCAAACTTGAAAATTTATAGGAACATTAAGGTTAGCCCATTTGGGGATTACTTTTAACAGATGTTTCTCTCCTTTACTTGTGTGGTTTAAGCAGGTAGGGAAAATGAATTGTACCAAGAATGAGCTATATAATAGGTGTCATTTTCCAATTATAACATCTTCTCCTTCCTATCTCATTTACTTGCCATTAACAACACTTTATCTGACTTGTTGGTCTCATAAACTGATATATACACACATATAAATTATTTATGTATGTGTATGTATGGACATATACTATGTATCTTATACATCTATAATTAGATATATTATGTATTTTACATACATACATGCACACACATGCACACAGTATATAAAAGGGAGTATTGCTTGGTTTACTTCTGTTCTTTAAAGATAATGTTTTGCTTTTTACGTCTCCATTCTAATCAGCAACCTACTCTCAAAACTTTCTCTTAAGTAAACCTATAAAATATTCTTGTGTGAAATAATGGTTAGGCACTCAATACCTGAAGCCAGAGTATTTTGGGTTGCAATTCTTTTTCACTTTTCTTTATCTGGATAACATTAGAAAGTTGCTTAACCTAGTTTGCTTCGGTTTCCTCATCCATGAAATAGAGATAATAATGGTGTCTACTTCATAGGATTGTTGTGAGGATTAAATGAGTTTATCTATATATGTGTAACAAATTTGGAATAGTACTTACCACATGAGGAGTAGTGAACAGATATTGTTATTATTATTGGTTTAATTAATACTACAGAAGTATGTCTACAATTAAACTATTTTCTTTGTTAAAGATTGTCTGAGTACATACATCTTTCCCTTTACCTCACCACTCTCTACTAACATTTATTACTGTTATTGTCCACAAATACTTATGCCAAGAAAAATTCTCAACTTGGTTATAGGGGGTCACCATCCAGTAGAACTTTCTTTGATTGTGGAAATATTCTATGCCTGCATTGTCCAATACAGTATCACCAGGCATATGCATTTAATGCACACTTAAACTGTGGCTAGTTTGAATGAGGAATTGAATATTTAGTCACAATTCCTTTTAATTTCAATTAAAAGAGCTATAATGGCTAATGGTTGCCATATTGAACAGCACCAGTATAGAGGGTTTTGCAGTTACATTTAGACTTGAATGTGTGCCTTACCACCTCTATGGCATTTAATTTCTCAGAACCTCAGTTTCTTAATATGCAAAACAGAAAAAGTAATACCTATCACCCAGAAAAAAATGCAATAATATTTGTAAAGAGCCTGGTGCCGTGCAATTTGTATTACCACCTCTCTACCTTCCTTTACATTGGTATTATTTTGGCAGAATGGCCCTTCAAAGGAACAGATGCAGGGCAAAAAGAATCTTTTAGCTCTTGTTAGATTTCAAAATGAAAAACATCAGCCCTTCAATATTCTCACTTGCTCCACTATAACTTTCAGTCTTGAATGGAAACATGATGTTCCTTTTTGTCAGAGAACCCTGAAAATGTCTAGGTATCCCTCAAATAGCACGAATCTAATAGAATTCTCAGGACTCTCTCATGCTCATAGTATGTGGGGTCCCCAGCGGGTCATGGTCATGGAGAGTTCATTTGTACATGCCCCCCCTGGACAGTGCACTACAATCCAGGCAGCCTCTCGTTGCTTCCTTGTCAAAACACAATCACTGAGAGCCAATGTTCTAAAAACCTTGTGATCTCACATCAATATTTTCATTATAGAAATGATCTCAAATAGTCAGGGACTCCAAGGAAAACCTCCTTATATTGAAAACCCCTCACAATTACATTCCTAAAAGGTGGTGGAAGAAATTTTTATGTATCATGGAAATAGAAGTGCAGTCTTTTCCAATATCTTCAAGGACAGGGTCATATGGGTCTGGGAGACACAGTTTCAGGACAAATCTGAGCAGAAAATCACAACCCTAAATCTACCATGAAGATACGTAGGAAGACAGATTGAAGTTTGAGCACTCCTCAAATTGGGACTTGACTTCAGAAGGGCAGGATGGAGCCCAAGACACTTTGTCAGCAGTCTGCCTCAGCCTTTTGCTGGAGGCATTCTCTCTGGTGAGAAAACACTTTTACTATCAAACCTTCACTTTGATATTTTAAAAATTTTAGCCAAATTGCCTCTTTTTTTGGGAGGGGGGCGACTTATAGTTTTTATTTTAGATGGTCCCTGACTAATAACAGATACTTTACTGTCACATTCAGATTTCCCTAGTAATTGTCTCTGAACAAAATATATGCAGCATCCTCACACGACTCAAAATTTAATCCAAATTTAATACATATACTGGACTATATGAATTTACTAGGATAGGAAACATATAATATCCACATTTTAAAATTGCTCCAGTTAAATCAATAAATATGTACAGATAATTTTGTTCAGTTTTGACACTGTAATAACTAGGACTTTTTAAAATTTTGCATTAAAATATACATATAGAGAAGTGAACATATATTAACATTCATCAGGTGTCAGGCAGATGGGGGGAGGTGGGGCTGGGTATATACACACCTAATGGGTGTGGTGCACACCATCTGGGGGATGGGCACGTTTGTAGCTCTGACTTGGGTGGGGCAAAGGCAATACATGTAATCTAAACAACATTTGTACCCCTGTAATATGCTGAAATAAAAAAAAATTAAAAATTAAAAAATTAATTTAAAAATGTGGTTATTAAGGCATACTCAGTGTGGGAAAAATTTGTTGTCCTGTATATTTAATATATGTGCACTTATCTATATGTGTATTTCAATGCCAAATTGCCTCTTTAGCAGGTCCTGAACATAAAGACTTTGTGGACATCCACAGCTTTATCAGAATAATGTGTTATGATTAAAAAGTAAAAATAGGAATGACCACACACCTACTCAACCATTATAACCTGTATGCCAGAAAAATTGGAGGTGGGGGACATACACGGATGAGAAATATTGATTTCACCCAACTCTGGAATAATATATCCCTAAAGGGAAAAGAACCAAAAAAAAAAAAAAAAGCCCATATTATGTGAGGCAGCATGGTGCCATTGGCAAAGTGGCTTGGTGTCATAAGATCCACTCCTTATCACTCGGTAACTGTGTTTGGGATTTGGGTCCAGTTACTTGACTTTTTAAGCCTCTGTGTCTGTAATATGTGGATAATACTACTTTATTTTGAGGATTATAAGGATTAATTGGACAATGCATAGAGTGCTAAGCACAGTAACTATCATGGGTTGATAGACAACAAAGATTTCTTTTCTTCATTCTTTAGATATTTCAAAATAATATTATGACGGTTCCATTTAGGTTCCACAGTTAGTACAAACTATCTAAAAGTATTCGCTTTACCTATCTTTCATAAATGGATTAATCATATATTAAGCCAAGATATCAATGTCAGTAAACTTTGATTAAGATTTGGGACTTAGTACTCTTAAGCATCAAATAAAGTTCAGGTAATAAGGATTTTGTTTTTCCCTGATACATGAATTGGAGGAACAAGACAGCCAAAATATGGGCCTTGGGCATCATTTTCCAGATTAATACAATTTCTTCTTTACTGAATGCCTGTCTTTTATTGTTGTTACTGAAGAGATCTTCTCCACCATGCATTTTGACTGCTCTAGGGCTTCTTACTGATCTATAGATAAAGAACGAGACCCTTTTGAACAGCTTTGGAGACCTCTTCTGGTCACAAGGGAGGCCTCACATCCTTGTGTCCTTCCAAGTCCCTTCTTTGCTCTTCTTGCCAACTTGGTCATCATCTTATTCGCCACAAAACAAATCTCTGAGTTCACCTACACATTTTAAATGGAATTAAACATAGTGTGAGAAGATTGAAAAAAGTGATTTTCAGGTCCATTCCAACTCTGCAATGTGGTGATTTTACAGTTTCAAAATCTAACTTTCTAAACCATCATTTGTTCCCCCTCCACCATAAGCATTTTATTTTTTTCAACAAGTACTGCAATGGGGACACATGCCTCCTCCCATCCCCATACCCTGGCCTTCATAAAGCCTTACCCAGAACAGAAAGTAAACTTCTTTAGTTTCTCAACTTAAAAACTGCAGTTTATAAAAAAAATTCTTCTTGATCTTTAGCTACTTCACTTGGAGAGCACCCAAACCCAGTATTGGGCATGTAATTAGCACATCATAAATACCTGTTAATTGATTAGCAATGTTAATATTATTCATTCTTTTCATTTCACATACTTGTTCAGTGTTTTACCTGTTGTCTATTTATCCTCTGTGCCTACCTCCATTGTTGTTTTCTCTTAAACTACAAGCTGCAAAGTATAGAAGCCACGTTTCTTTGACTCAATGTGGATAATGGGCTGTAGAGAGATACTTAAACAGGCTTTTCAACTGATTGATTAATACAACGGTTGATGGATGGACGGAGGAAAGGGTGAATGCATTACAGCATTCTCCATTTACTATTCCAACAGGCTAAATTTACCAAAGGGGTCCCGCTCTTCCTCTGCCCCCTGAACAAAGCGCCAGAGGTAGGTGAGTGAGAGGGGTCAAGGAACAGCCATCCCAACCGCACACAATAGAGGAGGGTGTCTTGCAGAGGAGACGGCTTCTTCTTTGCCTAATTGCTACACAACAACTTTTGAGGCAAGGTGGTTATTTTCTATTATTTCTTGGTCACTTTCTTGGGGTAACTTGTAATTTTTAAGTTAAAAAAAGGAAAGACAAAAATGCCACAGGCCCTACATTTTTTTAACCTCACTCTTCCCAACTTTGAGTCTCATTAAATGCAACTGATTCTCGTGCTGTTGATAACTTATTCATTTGCTAAACCAGTTTACATTCAGTCTACACATGAACTCTGTTTCATAAACCTAAGATAAGGAAAGAAAAATATATGTAATATATTTAATTCTTTAAATTGCCATATTTCGTTTAGAATGCATGTTAATTTCAAGTTTAAATTTAAAATCTTGGGGCTTGAAAGTTTTAAATTTTCTTTTCTCTTTTGGCCAGATTGTTTTGACCAATTAAAGGAGCAAGCAAGACTGAACACATGAAAACAAGTGACAGATCTCAGAGTTTCATGAATTCTGGCTAGAAAGAGAGAGCCATATCTCTGCTCATGTTTATTACAGCCAGTGCAACATGTAATATGCAACATACAAGAGAATGTGCTCCCTCAGGAGATAAGTCCCTGTGAGCATTCCCAAGGCACTAATTAAAAATCTATTACTCTCTCTGCCATTCAAGAAAATATAACCTAGCATAAGTCAATTTTATATTTTAATTGTTCATCCATTCATTCATTCAACAAATATGTATTGAGTATCTGCTATGTGTCAGGTATGGTTTTAGGCACTGCAGGTACACAAGTAAGAAGATATATAAACTCTCTGCTCTCGTGAAGCTTATATTCACATCTTTTGGCCTTTGCTAATAATTAATGGGGCACAGTGCATATTCAGTACACTTATTGCTTCCCTTTGGCTCATTGGCACTGTTATGTGGGCTATAGAGAGAAGAGACATAAAGAGAATTTAAGCCAATGGAGGGATATAATTCAATCCTCAACAAATCTTCAAGGTCACTATGCAGGAGGGACTTGCCAGGATAGTGCCTGTGCCCTTCCCTTTAGCTTTGGAACCATGATAGTAATATGACTCTGTAATCACTCTAGAAATCTTTATTAACCATTCATGGTTAAAGGAGACTTGTGTCTCTAAGCAGAACTATCAAAATGTGCTGTTGTAGAAGAATACTTCACAATAAATTAAGGTTAGATTGTTAATTTCAAAAAGCAGTTTATAAAGCATCATATACAGTATGATACAATTTCAGCTAAAAGAAAAAGAGTATATGTGCACCAAAAATGATGGCTAGAATATATAGCAACATGTCAACAATGGATAGTTCCGATTAGGATTGTGGGTGCTGTGCATGTGTGAATCGATATGAATACATGTACATATGCTTTCAATGTCTTCTAAATTTTCTACAATGAAAGTGTACTAAATTCTCTAATCATGGGAGGTGCGGAAATTGTATCCATATATCAAACATTGCTGCAACAGAAAGTGGGCTCCAGTGAAAGAAGAGCAGACTCCTGTATAGGCAGCCTCCTTTTGTAATTTACAAGGTGACATTGTTTGTCCTTGTCCACACTTGGAAGCAAAGCTCTGAAGTTTTTCTTGTCAAATTTCACTAGGACCTATTAGCCAGCAGCAACCTAGTGACCATAATTGTTAAAAACCCTGCTATTAAGTGCAGTGTATGAGTGGTATTTCATTACCTAAGAATAGTTTGTAATTTTTACAATAGCACCTATTCTACTGAAATAAACTATACATACTTCAAAAATGTCATTAAAAGAAACTTTATAATGCTATCAAACATAAGACCCTTTAACAAGGAAAACATATACATATATGTATAAACACACACACACACACATATACAGGATTTATAGATCAGCCAAGATGCCATCCTAACCTGAGATGTATATATTAAAAGGAAAGAATGTGCTAAAACAAAAACAATGACATTGGCATACTTTCTTTCATTTTCCGTCTCTTTCTTCCAAACTGAATCCCCCCTCCCTCCCCTTGGAAAAAGTACAAGGCTATTCTCCAATGGGGGGGGGGGGAATAAATGATTGTGTAAACTCATAGAACCAGCTTGTCACAAATTGGCAAATACAGTTAATGGTTAATTATCTGCAAAGACTTCAGTCTTGTCACTTTTCAATTTTCTGGTCAGCATTCAAAAAAGGGAACCAACTTTAATTAGTAAAATAATTTTCCAGGTCTTTATAGAGCTGATTTTCTATAAAGCTCAGGAATAAGCTTTGTTTTGTTGTTTTGTTTTAAAAGTTAATATAAGTCCCTTACTTCGATATGAGAGCTAAGAGTGCTTGCACACTTAACCCACCTTCTAACGAGGAAAATTTCCTTTTAAAGATTACTATAATATTAGCTTTTTCAGCATAGCTGTAGGTGCACTGAGTTTCTGCTGCCATCCAGTAATCTGTGCCGAATGGTAAAAAGAGAACTTAAACCTCACAGATAGAAAGTTACTATGTGAATTATATTGGGATAATAAAAGAATCTGACTGAGAAGATGATATGGATAGCTAATATACAGTCCAAATTGTAGATGTACATGTAGATGGTTAAAATTAATTACTGGTTCCATTTAGAAAAGAATCTCCTCCAGACAAAAAAGGGTTTGAGTACATCTCCCCATTCTTCGCTCCTTTTACCTTTGAGCTTTTGGGGGGGACCAGAAATGCTAACCTTAATTAATGGAAGACCCACTAGACCCCAGGCAAGGGTTTGGGTCCCAGGCCGGGGTCTCCTCCTGCGTCTCTCCCGGGAGTAACGAGCAAGCAGGCTTCATTACTGGCAGCTGAGGGGAAGGGTCACTGGGAATGGATTTGCAGGGCCCTCATTGAGCGATCACTCCATGCTGAGAGGAGCTGGCCGTACTCTCGGACACCTGGTCATTAACATTGCTAATTAGCAGCCATTAATCAGGGCGCTTGCTTTTTTTTGTTGTTGTTGTATGTCACCGGCTCAGAGGAACCAAGTGAATAAGAAGATTGTTTCATTACCTCCACAAGAGGTAGAATGAAAGCAGTTCCCATCAGCTCAAGATGAGATGGATTAAGGGAAAGGTTAGACAACAGTTTGAGATGAGCTGGGGAGGGCAGCGGATGGAGGGGGCCGGGAGACCTGAGCTGTCTGCTCAGGGAAAATCAGTCACCTATAATTAATGAAATCTTCTGCAACCTAATTCTAATCACCGTGTGAGCGGTCCTCCAACGACCAAATTTTTGTATTTTAAGAGCTTTATTTTCTTTCTGTTAGTGCAGGGAATTATCTTTTAAGTTATTTTAATTTTATCTGATACTCAGTAGGTTTTAAGTTTGGTATTTTCTGCTTTCTCATTCTAAATTCATTTTTTCCTTCCAAATGATTATGAAATCATTTAAAATTTTAAGTAGGTATAACGGAAACACTTTTAAAATATCTTCACTATTTTATCCAAATGGCTACTCTCCACCCAATAGCCAAAAGACAATCAAAAAATAATAATTCTACAGTCTTTAGAATGGGAACAATAAAAATCAGCAGTTTATTTTTACTCCTAACTTTGCCTAAAAAGCAAGAGAGAATAAAAAGACTCTGTATTGATTTCTATATAATGACACTAAGAAGAATAACATGTCATTAAGAAGGGCTAAAGAGAGAGAGTGTGTGTGAGAGAGAGAGAGAAAATAAGTGGGGTTTTTCCTGTTATTTCACATGTAATATGATTAACATGCTTTAATGGAGCATTTTCTCTTCTGGAGTGTGGGGTGTCATGTGTATATAGAAAATTATACTTATCTTAATTTCCAAAAAATAGAAATCTTGGTAACAGGTTGCACATATCAGAGTTGTTGTAGTCATCATTTTTTATCTAGAAAAAATATTATGAGAATACTTTTTTAATTAGCAGCTAGTTAGCTGCTATGAATTCATTCTTTTATTTATTAAAATGTGTTCAGCCAAGAACTGCAAAGCAGATCATGACTTATATGGGAAGCTCTCTTTATTAAAGAAACAGCGAGCATTCATCCAGCTTTTTGCTGTTTCTGCTCTGAGTTTTTCTGTGGTGGGTTACAAAATGAGGTTTGCAGTGGCACTAAATGACTAGGAAGCAGAGATTGCCTAAGAAATTATTAGTGTTGTGGCCTCCTTTGGACATGTGTAATAAATATACATTCTCACATATAATATGTACCCCTGCACTTTCAAAGCAAAATTATTCATTTAAT